TAGGCGGCTGAGATGTGGAGCGAGAGGGGGAACAGGTTTCTGAAGACCATACTGAGACTGATCTTTTCGAGTAGTTTTCAAATTCGGAAAGATTGTGGGCGCCGAGACCGAGGTTTTGGCTGATTAGCCAAGAAGACTACAGTTGTCGATGAGTCAACGGCACTCCCCAGCGCCTTGGACGGCACAAAAGAAGGTAGGCTAATCTACCACACAGCAATTACGCTCTGTCAAAACTTTTCCGACATTTTAGCACGACCTTCGGGAAGGAGTTGGAAGGAGGCTAGAAAGGCAGAGAGTGAATTTCCCGAGGTACCCACAAGTCTGCAGCGCCCAGCTGGCCGGCCTCTTCGAACGCTTCAGAAGGGGCAATATGTCTTCGGATTTATTCCTAATGTCGGTATTAGAAGAGCCCCGCACCCAGTGGTTTTTTGCGATTTTTCCCGGCTGCCATACACCCGCAAATGGCCATCGTTTCGTTGGCTGGAGAGGGGAGATAATGAAGGGCTAAGGGCTCCTCTTAGTGTATGATCGAATGAGGACTTGTGAGGGGTGATACTGTTTGAGGGGAGTTGTATGGGAGGCATAGGAGGGGATATACTACTGGTATAGGTATCCCTGGCCTGTAGGCAGAGAGGACCTGCATGTCCTACATAGTCATTGACTCAGACAGGACAATAAAATGAATGAACATGGAAATGAGGAAGTAGACGCAGCGGCCAAATTCGCCCTACGAACGCTTCCCACCGTGGAAACTGAGCCAGCAACCACCACGACAGCATTTTTACACCAAAAATTGCATCTACAGCGATAGACTTTGCTCGACAGCTGGTGGAATGAAACTTGCCCGTCACGGTATCGTGAGCTAGATCTGCTCATGCGCCGTTGCAAACCACCAGAACTGGGGCTTTCCAGGCTACAGTTACGACATCTCATTGCAGCCCATACGGGCCACGGCAATTTCGCGGCGTACCATCGTCGCTTCAACAATCCGCACGCTATCACAGAGTGCAACTGTGGGGAGGAAACTACCCCTACCCACTTCATACATTGTCGACTCAACGCAAATATCACGCGTCGAATCAGAGGGTCATTGTCTCACAGTGCCTTCCTACACAAGGTACTCGGGCCCAAGTGCTTCGAGAGCTTCAAACAATTTGCGCAGGATACCAATTGTTTTGGGCATTCTCCTGTGCATCCATCTCCTACTCTAAGTGGAGATCGAATATAACTGGTCAGGAAACTAAACCTGACACAATGGGAATCGAGGCGAGGAGTATTGCTTCCCATTCTAAATAATTTGCAATTTATCTTTTTCTTTTGTCGGTTATGGGAGGAGTTCGCGACGGCGCATATTTTTAACCTACTGCTGGTTTTGTGGTGGTTCATACGGTGGAATCAAGCTGGGTATGTCTTAGATGTAGTTCTGGCTGTGAACATCGGTCCTGTACTCATAGTGGATAATAGCTTTAGCTTAGGACCTGAATAAAACAACAACAACCACATTCTATGGCTTTCCATATCCCCAGTCGCTCAGTTCCATTCAGCTCTGAGTCATCATATTCTATTCCATCCTGTTCTATTCTATCTGACTCTAGTCTGTTCTGTTTTAACCATCAGATTCTACATCACTGTGATCCACAATAACTAGATTCAGGGGTGGTTATATCATCAATCACAACAATAATATATAGCTTACTTTTGAACTCTTCATTTTGCATTGAACTATCATTGCGTATACCTACATTAAGGCCAATCGACAGATAAGCCTATTACCTTAGGGAAACTGAAAGATGTCGGGCAACTCTGGCAAGATACTTGATCACTGAAAGGTCAGAGATCGAGCAGCACAAAGAAATTAACGACTATGGGGATCATTTGGAACAAGGCAAAAGAAAAAAGCAACGAGGTATGGACCATGCAAAATGTGACAAATTAGTTTGTGGATATAAAGGTACTGTTTACATCTTGAGCTAATGAGAAATAGCATCTACGGTGAGAAACTAGCAGGGACGATCGGACGGCAGCAATTTTGAGAATATCGTGGAAACCGTCGCTGTTGAAATTATATGATGAGCCCATAAAATGCTGATCGATAGCTCTAGTGCTACTTCGCTCCGAAGTTATCGGTCTCAATGCATGACTTGTCTCTCCAGGTTCTAGATCTTACACCAAGTTGCAGGGGGACTGTTCTCAACACCTGTCAGTGGTGTCCCCTACGAACCTCCAGCTCTCACTGTAGAGTCTGCAGAGCCGAGATTGAGTAACAAAGTTCTCACTTCGACGAGGATTCCCAATCGCTTTCACGGTCTGTATCGTCTTCATCTCTCAAAACATTCCCCTATCACCATTATCATGAAGCTAACCACGATCAGATCAGATGGTAGGGTCGGAGCCCTACTCGTCACCCACCCTTGATCATGGAGGAGAAGCCATCCGATGAGTTTCCGGAGCGTACCCAGCACCCGATACGGAGATGGTGGATTGGATCAAGTCGATCTCGACTGTTACAAAGAAGAGAGATATAGATGAATATGCGCACCTCATGTGGTCCCGGTGTCTAGGCCTCGCCTGGCTGGGACTGCAGGTTTTTTGAGACTTTTTCCCGCGCACGCAGTTTCCATTGCTACCATTTTTATTTTTTTTGGGTAGAAGGTTCCGTGGAAAAGGTGGCTGAATTCCACGGGTAAATACTGAGCTGAATGGCTATTCATCAAGGGGAATATATCAATGATCTTTCAAGTAACAAAAGAGGATAGGAGCACTGTACAAGGTGTGGCCTGGGTCAGAGAGGAGCCCAATGTGCTAGATAGTCATAGACTCAAGTAGTACAATAAAACACACACACACACCAAGTTGCAGCCATGCTGGATATTACTAAACACTTACACACATCCGACTCCACTGCCCGGATCATTCAGTAGTCCAGGCTCGCATATTCCTTGACCAAAACCACCGTCTTTGAAAAGATATTCCTCAACCCACGGGGTTGCCGTGCCGCAGCTCGTATGCTGATTGCTAGTACGCGCACGTAACAATCTAGGGTTGCAAACCAAATCGATGGCAATAGACTCGAACTCTTTAAAACTGGAAAGCTAAAATGAGACCACTCTTCCCTGACGGATGAGGTCATGGAAAGGAGGGCAAGACTGAACACCTGTACGCGGTGTCCTCTACGAACTTGGAAGTGAAATTTTCTCCCAGAGCCAAGGTTCAGTCAAATTTCGCAATATCAAAGAAGTTGGCCCACGAGGCAATGATTCAAATTACTCCTCCACATCGTTGTTTCGCTCCCAAAGAGTTTGACTTCTACCTAGGTCTCATCAAGCCTACAAGTGTGAAAGGTTTAAAGAATTCAGAAGTACTTGAAAGACGTTAACTCAATAGGAATTGATAATTTTTCCTTAGGAGGCTAATCCGCCTACGACGGCTTCTGTCCTTTATGTCCTCTTCAGCGTCGCATTTAAGCTCCCCTCCTAGCCTACCTGAGAGTACTTCATTCTCCCTGGCCACCCTCTTTCCTGTGACAACCTCCCCCTCTTAGTACGTACTCCTTTGGGTCCTTCCTCATGCGCAACCTTGCATTCTTCCCTATGCAACCTCTCGCGTATCTGTAAGCGCTGCTTCGTTGACGCTTAAATATCTAGCCGGGGTGGTCCTAGTAACCTGTCCCAATCCGGGCGCAGCCCGTCACAACAAGTACGACCATTTACATCCTCATCCCAATGACCACACCACTGTTTGACCATCTCTGGCCTCAGCCGGTCACCAAATACATGCCCACGCCGATATTTACATTCAACGGAAGAAGCAAAGCGTGGCGCACAAATCTGGGAGATAGCTCTTTGGGATGGACGTGAGAGGATTCAGGACAAGTTTACAAGATGATGCAGAAGAGGGATACGTTTTCGACGGGCGTGAAATTCCGAATTTTGGCAAGAGTTTTACGAATTGAGCTTTGTGCGCGCCAAGACTTCGCTTGCGAGAGTGCAGCTGACACTATAAACACAAGCAAACGATGGAAGGTGTTGTGATCCGCCTCCTGGTGGTGTTCTCTGGTATAGTTTGAGTAGCCTGAGCACCTACTCCACTTGGGAAGGAGACATCTCAGATTGCATTTCGCGCGGAGAAAAGTTGATTGATGATGGAGGCATGTCTGGATAAGTCGGGGTTTTTGAGACGTTCCCCTGGGTGGGTATTCACGGATGAGGGTTGACTTGGGGTGAAGAAAAAGCCACCTTGACTTCGCAATGGTACTTGCAAATGAAGTCCGAGGCATGAGAGCTCCTCCTATAAATTGAGTCATCTCTTCTTTGATATTGTGTCATAGCTAGATAGCTGCATACGCAATTAAAATCTGATGCAAAAAAAGAGGTCATGGAAACAGTGATGTTGTAGGAAGTAGCTGGGTAGATGAACGCCTTGCTCATGGAGTCAGGGTTTGCTCTAGTTGCATTCAAGGATTTTTACTTTTAGACTGTTCCCTAATTAATATGACCCACGCCTATTTGTACCAGTGTAAATGAACCACATTAGGCAATAAATTTGAACATATATTTTTACAACACACTATCGAAGGATATATTATTGTTATCCATCTATCATTATCTTACTGATAGTCTATCAAGAAACGCTTTACTTGCAGTGCTCCACTGTTCTCTTAATCATCATGGAATCTCCAACGTTCCACCTTCATTTTGGGTGATCATTACCCTTGCACATTATAATCTTGTATATCAACAGCATGACACATGATGCGATACCGAGGTTGGTGGGATTTAGTTTCTTAAATGTAGCTTAAAAGAGATTCTAGATCCTCCTGCACAGTGACGGTTTTATCTTCCGAACCCGAGTCCAGATTGCCCTCGAAGATAGGGCTAGAGACTTTGACTTCTTCATCGCTTTTTCGTCTATCTCCAAGTACAGACAAATACCGTTGGATTCTTTCACGGATTTCTGTGCGTTGCATGATGTTCTGCACTTATGGCGCTATTGTTTTCCCATCAGAGTAAGTCAAAGTCATCAAGCTTGTCCCGGTATTTCAAGATACTCCTCTTGATCTTACTACTATCAACCCAGGTCACGAAATCCTCCATACTCCGTGTCACGAGGAATGCTGTATCAGTAATTGGTTCTGTTCCCACTCTGACGTGGCCCTGCTCAATCATTTTAGTAGCAGCTTGTACCGTCTCTGCCATGCGCAATCTGGTCATTATGACAGGCAATCGCCGTCGACAGAATGCCGACACGCTCACATTTTTCTCTACTTCCGATAGCCTAGCAAGAGAGGCATTCGATGGAAGCACCCCGATATCATGGAGTTTAGATAAGACGGCCTCCTCGTGCCTGCGTCGGAATTCAGAGTCGGGTGGCAGCGCCGCAAGACGATGGGCAAGTTGTTTCAAGCTCTATAACAAAGTCAGTGAATGGCCTAGTCATGAGAGAATACTGATAGAAGGTACCACGCACTCCACAGAGTCGGTTGTATTTCATGTAATCAGCCGGCTTCTGAATATTATATCTCCGTATAACCGCGCTATCCCTATGGTTGTTGTCTCCCTTGTAAGTTGTGAAGTCAACTTTTCGTAACAGCTTTTGTTCATGGTGCTTGAGCTTCCGAACCATGTCGCACTCTGAGGGACCTGATGTTGTTAAAAGTTTGACGGAGTGTAATTTTAGGTTTGACCACTAGGTTCCGAGAATGATGATAAAAACGTATCGAAATTTGCAAGGAGCTAAGCGTAGGAATCAAGAGAATAGGATGTGGCAGGAAGGCAGCTCTAATGTAGCAGTGTGAGAAGATGATTGGCTGTGAGTAGAGAACTTAGAAACAGTTAGAGACTGAATACTGATGTGCACGTACCAGGTGCGCACATGTCATCTCATGGGAGGGCAAGACTGAACACCTTTACGCGGTGTCCTCTACGAACCTGCGAGTGAAATATTCTCCCAGAGCCAAGTTCAGTTAAATTTCGCCTTATCAAAGAAGTTGGCCCACGAGGCAATGATCCAATTACTCCATCACGTCAAATTTTCACTCCCAAAAAGATAGAATCCTACCTAAGTCTCATCAAGTCTACAAGTACGACCAAGTACATCCTCGTTCCAATGACCACACCTCTCGTCGACCATCTCTGGCCTCAGCCGGTCACCAAATACATGCCCACGCCGATATTTACATCCAACGGAAGAAGCAAAGCGTGGCGCACAAATCTGGGAGATAGTTCTTTGGGATGGACGTGAGAGAGATCAGGACAAGTTTACAAGATGATGCAGAAGAGGGATACGTTTTCGACGGGCGTGAAATTCCGAATTTTGGCAAGAGTTTTACGAATTGAGCTTTGTGCGCGCCAAGACTTCGCTTGCGAGAGTGCAGCTGACACTATAAACACAAGCAAACGATGGAAGGTGTTGTGATCCGCCTCCTGGTGGTGTTCTCTGGTATAGTTTGAGTAGCCTGAGCACCTACTCCACTTGGGAGGGTGACATCTCAGATTGCATTTCGCGCGGAGAAAAGTTGATTGATGATGGAGGCATGTTTGGATAAGTCGGGGTTTTTGAGACGTTCCCCTGGGTGGGTATTCACGAATGAGGGTTGACTTGGGGTGAAGGAAAAGCCGGCACAACTTCGCAGTGGTACTTGCAAATGAAATCCGAGGCATGAGTGCTCCTTTTGTAAATTGAGTCATCTTTTCTGTACTTTTCTTTGATATTGTGTCATAGCTAGATAGCTGCATACGCAATTAAAATCTGATGCAAAAAAAAAAAAAGGAATGGTGGTTAACGAGACGGTAGGTAAGCCGGTGTTTACCTGTAGCCCGCCCTGTTTAACGTAGGCTTAGCGTAAAGTTATTTTTTTTTATTTTTTTTTTTTGCATCAGATTTTAATTGCGTATGCAGCTATCTAGCTATGACACAATATCAAAGAAAAGTACAGAAAAGATGACTCAATTTACAAAAGGAGCACTCATGCCTCGGATTTCATTTGCAAGTACCACTGCGAAGTTGTGCCGGCTTTTCCTTCACCCCAAGTCAACCCTCATTCGTGAATACCCACCCAGGGGAACGTCTCAAAAACCCCGACTTATCCAAACATGCCTCCATCATCAATCAACTTTTCTCCGCGCGAAATGCAATCTGAGATGTCACCCTCCCAAGTGGAGTAGGTGCTCAGGCTACTCAAACTATACCAGATAACACCACCAGGAGGCGGATCACAACACCTTCCATCGTTTGCTTGTGTTTATAGTGTCAGCTGCACTCTCGCAAGCGAAGTCTTGGCGCGCACAAAGCTCAATTCGTAAAACTCTTGCCAAAATTCGGAATTTCACGCCCGTCGAAAACGTATCCCTCTTCTGCATCATCTTGTAAACTTGTCCTGATCTCTCTCACGTCCATCCCAAAGAACTATCTCCCAGATTTGTGCGCCACACTTTGCTTCTTCCGTCGGATGTAAACATCGGCGTGGGCATGTATTTGGTGACCGGCTGAGGCCAGAGATGGTCGACGAGAGGTGTGGTCATTGGAACGAGGATGTACTTGGTCGTACTTGTAGACTTGATGAGACTAAGGTAGGATTCAATCTTTTTGGGAGTGAAAATTTGATGCGGTGGAGTAATTGAATCATTGCCTCGTGGGCCAACTTCTTTGATATTGCGAAATTTGACTGCACTTGGCTCTGGGGGAATATTTCACTCGCAGGTTCGTAGAGGACACCGCGTACAGGTGTTCAGTCTTGCCCTCCGTAGGTATCTCTAGCTTGTAGGCAGCGAGGACCTGCATTTCCAACATAGTCGCAAACGGAGAGGAAAATAGGATACAAAAAATAACCACCCCGTCCGTTTAGATCCACCCGAGTAGATGTACGGAACCGATGCAGATATAAGCATGGCCTCTTTATTTCGTACACAACTTTGCAACTAAAAGTAATCTAGTACTTCCGGCAGATAGCCAGCGACCTCCTGTCGCGAGCCAAGTAAATGACCAAGCTCTCTAGAAACTGTAGGGTTGAACAGCCCGGATTGCATCCGACTGTCATTCGGGCTTGGGCGCTATTCATGTCAGTCTCCCCTACTACATACCATACAACCGACTGACGACGCCCAACGCAAATCTTGAGGATGAGGTCAATCCAAACATATAAGGTGGGCTTGCTTAGATTTCTTTGTCTCTTCGTAGAGGTGATGCTGGTGGAAGTTGATCCACAATCTTACCCCCATGAAACCGTACGCGTCTCCTTCAGCACGGTCTGTTCCAACTTGTACGCTGCAGCCTATGGATGAAATAGATGTCATAAGTAAATAGGCCTGATCAAACATTCCCGCGATTACCCATCGGGAAGCACCTCTTGTCGGAGAAAGGTCTGAAACACTTCGCCAAAATACGTGGATAGCAATACTAATGAAATTGATACCGTCGACAGTGCAGTTTCTAAAATGTACTTGTACTTGGTTTCAAATGTTTGAAGAAAGAACAGTTCTGCCACTACGCCCAGCATAATAGATTCCGCAGCGCGGCTCACTTTGCAACGCATCTAACAATTAACTTAATTCCGGAAGCATGAAAATATAGACGGCCACTCATCATACATTTGTATGAAGCCATCCTTGCCTTCCGTCTTCACAAAGCGTCTCCAATTCATTTTTCATGGAGTTTTCACTGGAATAAAACTGCTGAATAACACTACCCTAACTAAAATTGGAACTTGCACAAGTTTGCAGCGCCCAGCTGGCCGGCCTCTTCGAACACTTCAGAAGGATCGCCATGTCCTCGGATCTAGTCCTAATTTTGGTATTAGGAGAGCTCCGCACCCAGTGGTTTTTGCGATTTCTCCCAGCGGCCATAAACCCACAAATGGCCATCGTTTCGTTGGCTGGAAATGGGAGATAATGAAGGACAAAGGGCTCTTCTAAGTGTATGATGGAATGAAGACTTGTGAGGGGTGCTAGTATTTGAGGGGAGCTGTACGGGTGGCATAGGTATACTTGGCCTGTCGGCAGAGAGAACCTGCATGACTCATGTAGTCATAGACTCAGACAGGACAATTAAATGAAATAATAACAATAAAACTGAAGCTTTGGCAAGGCTTTGTATGTACCACTGTAGGCGGATAAAGGAACATTGGGATTTAGAGGTTCAGCTTACAGCAGCTGGCGCTGTATACGAATCGCGTAATTATTCTTATGGCCGGCTCAGCTACTCCATAATATGCTAAAACTGAATGAATAAAGAAATAACCGCTCGAAAAAATCCATACTCCATCCTATCACCTCTATCTAGATAATTATACCCACTAATCCGATCAGAAGACCATCGGCAAAAACACCTACCCTGTTCACTTCTACTTTTCAATACTTATAAAATTTCCCTATCTTGAATTGAATGAAAATCATGGAGTCGACCAATGACCTGCCATAGTGTGACGCGAGACTGGTCGAACAACGAGACAAGTGATGTGAGTGACCTTCAGCCTAGGGTGAAGACCCGTCGTAAAATTGACATAGTTGAACCTGAGAATCAGTCATAAATTAGATTTAGTCTCCCTTGTGGTTGGAATACTAAGAAAACCCGTTTCCCGCTTACCATGATAGCTTTCGTACATCGTGGAGGTAGTGGGATATGTTTTAGATTATGAATCCAAGGCAATCGACAAAAGAGAGGAGATGTTGACAAGCATTATCATCGTTGTAATCGTCATTATCATCATAATATTCCAACTTCCTCTACTTGTTTCGGAAATATTTTCTCAGCCCGAATTCGCATCAAGCTAGCTGGCGTTTGGACTGAGGTTACCGATTTTTGGTTCGTGATATCGTAATTATAAAGATAGCTTAAGACGGGCCGCAATCGAGGTAATATGCATCATCTATCTAAGCCGACTGTCAGATCCCGCTCCAGTCCAGTTATTTCGTGATCATTATTTTCCTGTGGTCTAGGATCTTCTGATCCCCAAGCTACGGAAGTTTGAAGAGCTGGGACCGAAGGATCGTTACTGGGACTTTGCATACCAGGTTGAATTCTCACATGATGACGAAATCGAGCTACCTCATCTAAGATCATTTTGCGCATCTCCCCGACATCATCAGTGACCTCAAAGTCAAAGTTGAAGGTGGTTGGACAGCATGGTTCATCTGACACATCGTGCCAAATTTGAAGATAGGGGTGTTCAAGGGCTTCCTCAACAGAAATTCTAGAAGCTGGATCGAAGGCTAACATCCGGTTGAGAAGATCCAAGGCATCAGGGTTGGCGTTGGGAAATATCTGCGTAAATGGTCGTTTTGCCATAAACGGAAGATTTCGCACGTATTCTTGAGCTCTGGGTGACCCAATACGGGCTAGTGTCTCTTCATTCGGGGTTCCGAGGACGTGGAGTATTTGATTTAGCTGATCTACATAATCTCTACCTTTAAAGAACGGACGTCCGCCGAGGAGTTCTGCTAGAATGCATCCTACTGACCAAACATCAACTAATTTGGATTAGCTTGAGCCTGAATATTCATCACAGGTTATTCCAACTCACTGGCTTTGGTATAACTTTGGAAGCTCAACATAATTTCGGGAGCTCGGTACCATCTAGTAGCAACATATTCAGTCATATATCCGGCATTTTCTTCGGGGTCGACGGAAAAGCCTCTTGCCAGGCCGAAATCACAAATCTTCAGCTCACAGTCGGCATTTACTAGCAAGTTACCTGGCTTGAGATCTCGATGGAGAACGTTGGCAGAATGGACATATTTCAGGCCGCAGAGTATTTGGTATATGAACGACTGGAAGTGTGCATCAGTTAATGGTTGTCCTGAGCGAATAATTGCTGCGAGATCACACTCCATTAGTTCTGGTTTGTAGTTAGTAGACGAGCTAAATATTGTAAACGGCCCTCCCACCTTCGTACAAATAGGTCTCATTGAAGTTTTCTGGCCGGGGAATATCCATATCGTATAGACAGGTAATCTGTCTGAGTTAATCGCCAGTTATCTTTTTCAGATATCCCGGGATCAGTATACATTACGATGGCCTCGGAAATGCTGTAGCAATTTAATCTCTCTCAGCGCACGTTTAGCCAAGATCTTCTTGCTAAATACATTGGTAACCTTTTTAATCGCAACTCCTTCCTGGGTGGAAATGTTTGTTGCGGCACTGTCAGATCAAATTAACGAAGCTTCAGTTCTTGTAAGATCAAAACCTACCAAACGATACCGTAGGCACCCTGGCCGAGCTCTTTGGTGACATTATATCGCTCATCAACCACAAAGTCCTGATTGAATACCTTGAAAACCTTTCGGCCCTGCATATCTGACATGTTACGGAGAAGTCGGAGTCTTAGTATGCCAATGGTAGGCGTCGATCTCAACAGCGATCAACAGTTATCAAGTGAGATTTCCTAAGTCTAGAGTTTGAGGTATCAAGCTTGGAAGTAAATCAGTCGAGAAACTTTTGGATGTTATCGCTGGTGGGCCACTGTAGGGCAAGAGTTTGCTTCGGTGAAGTAGGAATGGAGGTGCTAAGGCGGCAAGAGCGAGGAAACCAGAGATAATTTCAAAGCAAATGAAAAAAGTTTGGGTGGGCACTGAGGACCTCTAAGGTAGTTCTGCTACTGATAATGATAGTTCTCACGTAAACATGAGTAGTTATGTCTGTATGAGTGCGTCGGATCTAGCTGGTTGAGGGCTGAGTACAATATGTGCTACACAACGCTTACTAACTCTCCCAATAGCCCCAAAAGCCCAAGAGGCCTAGGGTGTGGTGAATATGGCCAGATTGGGTTTGTCGGAACTAGACTCTTCCTACGTGTCGTTTACTCTCTCACTGCCTGATTGTTTCGATACAAAAACGAAGGAGCTGATGGCTGTTTGAACGTGTCTGAAGGCGACCCTGAACTGTTTCGCCCTGAACTGTCACTTTTGAGTTGTCTTCTACCATGCAATTCCCCATCCTTGGGCTACCGCTGAATGGCCCCAAACCGCAAGACAAGTGCTATATCCCACACACCCTACAGGCACAAATTGACCGGTGATAGCCTTGTTCTAGATACCTTTTCCGATGAATATAACCATCAAAGCGCTAGGAGAGGTTGTCGCAGGGCCCTCACCAATAGAGTCTTCTAGGCCCGCCCCAACCCTCTCGTGTTGACGTGCCGATGCATTGGATTCCCCTCCGATTCGGATCCGCCTGGCTAATAATCTGCGCTTAGTAAAGAGTTTCCTGTAGTCCATGTCCCAACTTTGGAAGTCTAAGGCTCAGCATCCGCTGCCGAACCTGACGCGGAAGTGAAGGGGTTGACACTGCGCATAGCATGTCCCCTCCACCCTTTAGCCAAGTCCACAAGTCCCTAGCTAGCTACCCCGGCCATTCATTGGGTAAGTAATTGCCTTAGTTCGTGTGTGGAGAAAAATTGTGTCTTAGGACTCCACGACTCGCGGACAAGATAAAGCGTGTGACTGGAAGAGGAAGTATGTAAGGAACTTGATAGAATTATGGTTTGTTGTGTTGGAAAAAATCGTTCCTGTAGGCTATAGGAGTGGGCTCAAAATCTGCTTGAAAAAATGAAGTTGGGGGTAGAGAATACAAGGGCTTAATCGTGAAAGACAGGATACTCATTTTTGCTACGACAAGCAAATACGTTGACTTACCTGCTGCGGTTCGACCCAAACTAGTACTGAGATACTTTAATGGACGATTAGATAGACTGTCTATTAATTCTGAATAGGTCGTTAGCCTAGCGATAATAGAGCCTCTGTCTACTATGAACTTCCTTCGTTTCAGTGGGTCTCTGCAACCGTTGCATCGCAAATTAAAAGTAGCGCTTAGGCGTATCTCGATACCAATAAGGGCCAATCGCATGTCTGTTAATTTCACTCTAACTAACATGTTAATCGTGAGTAATTCCATGATTAGTTTAAGCAGCAAGTTGGTTGCTAGAATTACGGAGTGAAATAAAATGCTGTTACCGATCGAGATCTCCAGGGCGATGGATTTTCATCTTTAACTTGGAGATTTTTATTGCTGGGGTGTAAGAAGCTCAAATCATGCAATTGACCGAATCAACACCTACGGGGCGTGGGCTACAGATATAACAGTTATTGCGGGTATGGAGTATTCAGGGGCAACGATCAGCAGTTGGGCTGACAAACGAACTTGGAAAGCCAGTAATACCTCATCCGGACTGTCTACCACGAACGTTTCAAGCACCTCGACGCACACAAAACATGCAGTTGCGGGGCTCCAAGTTCACCCAGGCATCTCCTAACCTGCCACATTCCCTCAGTAAGACTCCCCAGAGTTCCACGGAGCTACAGCGATAACGTTAGTTACCTATTTGGTAGCCAAGATGGAGTAAAAAATTGACCCAGTGGCTGCAAGATACAAAATTCTTTTCAAAAATCTGCCCCCGACATAGAGCAGAATCTCACCATGTAGATGCTGACTAGAAATTTGCATAGAAGTATTTTACACTCTGGCCCTGTAACCCAACTCAAATATATAGATAGTCATTTGTCCCAGTATTTTCATGCCCTAGAGACTCTACCGCAAATGTTTTTAAAGCTCTGGGGCAGGGTAACTCTCCCACAACCCTTTGCCCATAAAAACTATGTCTTTGTCTATTCAGGTTTGGACCATCAAGGCCTTAGGCATCCAGGGCAGCTAGCTTTGGCGTCTTAAGTCCTACTTAGGATTTCTATTACAGTCCCTTAAAGCTATCAAAAGTACAATTGTCAAAATGACTGGGGCTATATCCCTGTGCATATCGATTAGATTGGTTTAGTCTTCATGCTGGCCCATATCTAGTTCAGTGACTAGTTTTACAAGCAGGGGTACTATCCAACGATATTCCGTGAAAGTCAAAATTAATGGGGACGGTTTTCAACACCAAAACAAATGTACAATGGTCCTCATTTAAAAATTAAAAATAAAAAAATCAATTGATATCATCTACAAATACACATCTATTTCAAAAATAATTGCTCTGTATTGCAAAAGAATACATCGAAGCCCTCAGTATGACTTGCAACTAAATTGAAAGCGTACTTCATGTTTTGTATCATTCTGCTCCGTCCCAACACTTTGTGAACCCTCCATTTTCCTTTATCACCGCTACACATTTTTCGTGCATGTTAACCACACTTAACAGAGGCTTCTTCCGAGCAATGCATCTGCTGTAACCTATTTTATTGAGGGCATTAGAAATTAAACCCTCACTGCTTCCCCCCAGTGGCTGAAGGGCCCCATGGCTAGTTCCAAATAGCACATCTGTCGATTTTCAGGAGATTCCCGGCCGAAAACTTCAAGCTCATCAACTTGTTCCGCGCTTAATTTAGATAAGCATCTTTTGCGGGGCTTGGGATTCTCTGTCTTTCAAGCACACGCAAGTTGCACTTGCCTTCTTGTGAAGCCAAGTTCGTCGGATATATGCTGTAATGTCAAGCCAAGTCTTCTTAATTTTCTTATTTCAATACACTGATCGCGAGTTAGATGCCTGCAAACTTTGGTTTCTGAAGCAGACTTTTCGAGAGACATTGTTTGCTAAAATAGAGGATGAATTGATAGTGATGTTAAGTTTCAAAGACTGTGTTGGACAGGCAGCTGAAAATGTGGTTGAAAATGTGTTTTTCTAACCGAATGTTGGAAGTAGACGATTGGACCACAATTCATGGCGAGCGGGGTAATGACGATAGACAGTCTAACCTATTGCGAGCCAGCCCAACTGCGCCTACAGGGCTAATCCCTTAAACAGCCCAGTTTAGAGTTTAACATTTTACATCCCAGAGACACAGTAGATAGACGTAAAATTATAGACCAAACCAAACCTTATCCGGACTAGTGCAGATCGCTCACATGGCTGAAGTAGTCTAGAGCCTTGTTATGCTGGCATGGATGAGGTCATCACATTTATCGACTGTCTCCCTTATAAACCTGAATATGAAATATGTTCTCAAGATCGATTACGGTAGAATATCCTGATATCGATGGAGTAGGCGCATGAAGTAGTAATATTAGGTTTTCTGCTATATCAACATGCTCCTTCGATCAAGCTAAATTCCTGCCAAAGCCTCGTCCATATTCATTTCATTTCATTGATCTAGTTTAACGTCCTATGCGGTATCTATATACAGAACCATGAAGACGGTAAGCCGCTTTGGTAAGGGAAAAAGCTTTCAACAAACAAAACCCGATGTCCTGCCACTTTGAACCGACCCGGCTTAATGCTGAGGACGTTCCTTTCAACCGCAATTTTATAAACTTTCCTCGAAATTCGTTAACTCCCCCTTCGATACGACTAACGTTATGAAAAATTGAAAAGAGAAGGCACCTCCTCACTCGGCGTTGGTCTTCGAAGTGTTCGAAGAGTTGGTCCCGATGGCGGTGCTGCTGTCGAGGCGATTATTGGTGCCGCTGGGGCTTCGACTACCTTACGCGGTCGTCCTGGCCCTCTTTTGAGTCCTTCAGCCTTTTTACTGGTGACCAAAGTAAATCCCTGATCATCAGTTGGTCTGGCTGTTTGTGTTGGCGCCATTGTTGGTTTTTCATTCCAAATATCTGCCGTTCTCGATAACAGCTCCATCCGAGCCTTCTCCACACTTCCCTTGTAGACCTGGTAGGTCCGACACGCTGCTTTCTGCCATGAACGATGTTCCTTGCCGCAGTTGGCACAAGAAACCCTTTTCCTCGGACAGTCCCGAGTTTGGTGAGCGCCAGCGCACTCACCGCACCTGGCTGCCTTTCCACACGACGCCTGAGTGTGTCCCCATTGGCTGCAGTTGTAACACTGCTTTGGCTGAGCCCGTGGCGACCATACCTGCGCGGTGAAGAGCATGGCGTTAATAACAAGGCCCTGTCGCACTACCTCCGTTTGCATTGCCTCCGATGGGAGGCTGACCACAATTGAACCACGATTGCGACCGTTTTTCTTCGATCGCTGATGTTCCTTTCCATCATGTAGCCATCGTATTCTGCTAATAACCAGGCCTGGAATACGTGCCTTGGTCGCCGTCTCAATCTCCCTGATGATGGCGTAGTTGTTGGCATCTCTGCCACCCTCAATTCTTGTCCGCAGTGGGACTCCGGAAACCTCAACAGGAAAGTCTTGCCGCAAAATTTTAAAGTCCGTTGGTTGCCGCATATTAAGCGCCGCGTCTCTCTGGGACGCCGACTGGACAAACACCTCGGTGTCGTTGCTTCGCATCTGTCGAATTGCAAATGCGCCTTGAATGTGTTGTTGTGCCTTTGAGAGCAGCTCTTGTGGCTGCAGGTTTTGTGCGCCATCGATTCTTATCCTAACCGCTGTTTTCGTCATTTGCGGAGCCACGACCGACGCGTAGCTCCTTTGTGTCGGCGCGCCCGAAACAACTGCTGGTGCAGCTTTTCGAGCGGGATCCGCGAGGCTCTTTTTGACAACCTCCTCGAGCGCCATCATCCTCTCCTCGATAGGAGACTTCTTCTGGGAAATTTCCGTCCAGGCCCTTTTGTGCGCGTTGAAGGCCTTGACGGCCTCGTTCACTTCCTCCATTGAGGGTAGGTCCTCCTCATCCACCTCTCCCATCACGGTTAGTCTGACCTTTTTCAATAGTTTCCCTAGGATTTCAAGGTTCTTATCCTTTGGAGCTGTTTGCGCTCCGCTGCCGTTGTTTGATTGTGCCATTGTCGCATTTTGCGACGCGTCGAAACCGCTGGATTTACCCACACCAGCACCCACACTCGCCATGTTGGAGCACAGAAAGCGAAAAGATGATAGGAGGGTAATAAAGATGTAAAAATAATAATCACGATGTCAAATTGGTGATACGGGTAGCGTAGAACGCTGCGCAGCTTTCTGACAAAAATGATGTGCCTCGTCCATATTACAACCACAACACCCGTTTTTTAAAGTGCGTTCAGCTATCTGGCTGAGGATCCAAGATTGACAGACCTCTAGATTAGTACGAGGCTCTAATAAATTGTAATGCTTATGTAATGTTGTTCATGTTGGAGTCCCGGCGCAAGATTAGGAATACTGTACTTATATAGACGATACCCTGTAATAATAGAAAACCAACTTATATCTAGTCTTAAGCTCTACTATACATATTGGTAGATTGGAGCCACGAGACACCCGTAACCTACGCTATCTTAAAGCTAAGCTTATCTCACTTTTCACACATACCAATCCATCAGGAACCTCATGGCTATGAAACATTTGATTGTTAAATTTTAATTACAAGTATTAAAACTCCACTTTCTATACTTGTCTTCCGACGATCTATTTTTTATTCCTATCAGTGGTGACCCCTATGAGCCTCCAGCTCTAACTGTACAGTCTGTAAACCGAGATTATTATCTGGTGTCCAGTGCATGTGGGGATTGAGGGTAATGAACTTGCTGACTCACTTGCAAGAGGAGCAGCAAAGAAGACAGCTTCGAGGTATGAGAAATTTACATCCCATTCTTTTCTGGGGCAGAAAGCAACTGAATGCCCTTTAAATGCTTAGCATAATAAGTGGCTAACAGAAGTTCTCCGGGAAGAAGAGGAAAGAAGGTGTAGGGGACTTGGCAAGTTATACAGAATCCAGGACCAGATACATATACCCACCCTATTTTTGCAACCATTTAACTTTAAATCCCATAGTAGGATTGTTGAATCAGCATTTTTCCAGGCTAGAACTGAAATTGAAAACACCAGAGTTTCCCTGAACATAATTAGAAAAGCTGAAGATAAATGTTGCCACTTTTGTAAGGCTAAAAAACAGACCACAAAATAATTACTTCTCCATAGTACCAGATTTTGCAGGCAAAGGGAATCAGAATTTGCTGAAACAAAACCAGTTTCATTCCAAATATTATTGAGAACAAAAAGGGGGAAGGAAGCCCTTTTAGAGTTTTTGAAAACTACCAATTGAATGTCAGCATACAAAGGAGACTAAATAGGTACATTAACATTGGGCATGTAATAGTGTGGAAAAAGAAGTTAGGGCGTTATATGGTGTCATCTTCATTGTAAATAAATAGAAACTCAAACGTCATAGCTACATAGCTGAATAAAATATGATACAAAAAAAGCTGAGATTGAGTCGAACCGTCCTCACTTCGATATGGGCTCCAAATCGCCCTGACGGTCTGTATCTTCTTTACATCTCAGCACAACCTTCCAGCACCATTATCATGATGCCAACCACAATCAGATCAGATGGTAGGATCGGAGCCCTACTCATCACCCACTCACTCTCCTTGATCATGGAGAAGCTATCCGATGAGTTTCCGGAGCATATCCAGCACTTGATAAAACGATGGTAGATTGGATTAAGTCGGTCTTGACTGTTACAAAGAAGGGAGATATAGATTAATATGCGCACCTCACGTGGTCCCGGTGTCTAGGCCCTGCCTGGCTAGGGCTGCAGGTTTTTTGAGACTTTTTCCCGCGCACGCAGTTTCCATTGCTATTATTTTATTTTTTTGGGACGAAGGTTTCGTGGAAAAGATTGTTGAATTCCACGCGTAAATACTGAGCTGAATTGCTATTCATCAAGGGGAATATACCAATGATCTTTCAAGTAACAAAAGAGGGTAGGAGCACTGGGCAAGGTGTGGCCTGGGTCAGAGAGAAGACCAATGTGTTAGATATCTATTGACTCAAGTAGCACAATAAACACACACTCACATACTACTCTCGTATCCTTATCTTTATCGGTCAACTGTGGATGCCTTCATACATCTTTTGCATTAAAGATAGAGAAGAGTTTTTTCTCCCGATTTGGTATTGAATAACATCCCCATCCTCAACGTCTCTATGCCCTTTCATAACACTCATAGTTACTGTATTGTAAAATTAAACTCCAGGAAACCACAGATTAGCATAATCTAATTTTCCTAATGTTTTTTTATTCCGCCTTTAAAAAGTAAGGTTCGGTGAGGGGCCGTAATCATCGGTTGTTTAAGTTTTGCATGTAGAGCGAATGAATCTTGTTTATTTTTATGCTTTATTGGGCCTATCTTCGCACCAACAAGTCGGTTAGCTTTGTTGATACGAGGATAGCTGGTATGTGATAAGCTCTTGTGCTGTAAACGGTTACAAAGTTTACTATTAAAGATACATAATGAAGATGTTGTGCCTAATAAATATTGAAGTTGCAAGAATTGAGTGGTGCAAATCTGAGTCATGGAAAAAGTATAGTGGTATCAGAAGGATGGGTTATGACGAAAATTATATCCAAATGATTGATAGGGGTGCTGATTCTTATCAGGCTTGTTTCATTCAACATGCTCTGGGCTGTAGCCAGACCTGTTCGACACGCTCGGTTGTCAAGATATGGACCAGGACAACAAGTAACATGAGATTTGCTTGAAGATACTTTGTGTTCGGTCTCATGTAATGTGCCGGCATAACTTTAAAACGAAGGCAAACTTTTAGATATTAGCATAGAAGATTTGACATGCATAACTTGAAGGGGTTCGGGGATAAGTTTACCTTGCACAAAATGAAGTTTCTAGCTTTCTTTCGCCTAACTAAAGATAACAATATAATAATATGCATTCGTTTTTAGGTTTTCCTAAATGATTTTATTTGGACTTGCTCTGTTGTCACGGATATCAATTACAATGGCGGAAAACAGCATATATTTACACCCGTGAGTTTGACTGGCATGTAATTATGAAGTATTTGTTGTATTCTTAGCCGCCTCTTCCTTGGCACTTTGAATAGCCATTTTTCCTTCCGCAATTTTTTTCATCTTCGCTAATTTCTTAGCCTGATTTTTGGTCATTTTTCCAGGTTCGACTTCAGACTCATCTCCAACTACTGCTTTATCTTTATTGCACGTGGAATCAGGGTGTGTTTGGCTGGCTACTTTCGGGTTTCCATGCCATGTCAGAGGTTTCCTAGCCATAAAATCCTGCACTATCTCGTCAGTGACAAGTGCACGTCTTTCCTGGAAATCTTTAACGTATGATTGTAGCTCTCTGATGCAGAGCGCCTTCAGTTCACCCGTTAACATTTCCCCGTTGATGTAAGCTTTTCGGATTCTTTCCAATTCGGCATCATCTTCTAGGAAAAATGTCAAATACTGAAAGCTGACATCTTTATCTGCATCGCCACCTAATGCACGCTGTTCCGCTTCGGTTGTCTGACCCCCAGAAAATGCGTAGCGGTTGACTTTGTTTTTAATGTGACTGGGCATGTCCTTCATAAAAATTGCAGAAGTGTCAATGGAAGCGCTCATCTTGGAGCCTGGACCTTGGAGCGCATCAAGGAATCGAGAGTGTATTAATGAAGGTTTGGCAAAATGAAGACGAGCTGCTACGTCACGGGTTAGTCGGAAATATGGATCTTGATCGATAGCACAAGGGATCAGCGAGGGGATAGAGTTTGTGAAATTCTCGTTTTCGCCAAATATATGCGGGAATGAAGATGCAAAAGATGTAGCTCCTTGAACAGCACCAAAGTGGACTTTGCCGATGCAGGAGCTAAGAAGACGTTAACTAAAATATGATTAAAGCATTGTAAGACTAACCTATCATTAAATCCAAAGACAGCTCTGGCGACATTAAGAGTGACATGTTTGGATATTCGTGTGACATTTCTGTAGAATGCTCCGCCCATAAATTCGTAATCACTGAACATGAAAGTTTTCTTTGGATCAAATCCTACAGCAATAATATCCTTTGCGTTGTTTCGAGTATAGCCTGTAACTTCTTCAATTGTACGTTTTTCTCCAAATATATACTTTTCATCATCAGTGAGCATGATAATTAATGGCACATCGAAAACATCCTGAAGCCACCTTGAATTAGTAAGCAGATGTCAATCAAAGTAAGAGATGTTGGATGCAGTGCGCCTCTTATGACTTACTTTGTAAATTCGAAGGGAACAGTGTGTCCAATATGCATGCTTTCGCTACTTGGTCCCCTGCCCGTGTACAAAAAGAATGGCATTCCCTTTTCATGACGATCTAAAATCAAGTTTAAATCCCGATGACTGAAGACTATACCTCTTCTCATAAAACGATGTGGTTTATGTCCAGTTACCTGTTCAAACCTCGTCAAATCCGCTTCGAGTATCTTTTTTGTCCCGAATTCTTCAATCAGAGTTTGATAGTTGATAGCTTTTGCAACGCCATCAGTACCGATTTCACCTATCACGTTGTAAGGATCGACTGTTTGTTTCTTTGTCAATGCAGTATCGTTGCATGTACTATCAGTAGACTTGAGGTCGGCCATGGTGTATTAGGAATTGATGTTGAACCAGAAAAGTTAAAATGGCTCTCTTTTGAACTTTTGAAATTTAAAATTTCGAAACCTGGCATAAAAGAGATCAGAAACACGTTATAAATAATGAAGTCCCTGCCTAACGTATTTTTGAAGTTGTGAATATATGTTTGGCGAGTGAAGTCTCCAAAGTAGCTTTTCAATCTCTTGATGCCGGGTTTATTCTAGGTGAGAGAGCACGTAAGCAAGATGAAATGTGAATGGTTCCATCCAATAATTAGGAATTGAGGATGCGCGAAAGCTTCAAGTATTAACTGGGACGGATTCGCTAAGGTCTCGTTTGTTGCAAAGCGGTGGATACTTGATTCACGGTGCAAGACTCTATTGTGGTTCCCCGTCTGCATTTAATTAGACCAAGCAAAGTCTACGTAGTCTGGTATCTACTCTTAATATGGAAGGTTCAAGAATTTAATTTATTAGTGGTGATAGAATATATAAAGATCATTGCATGCTGATTTGACTCTATGGTTTCCAAGTCTTTCTCCCGAAGGTTACTCTGTTCTTAAAGGGAGTGTGAATTTGCCCAGTTCTATCTTGAACGATCTAAGCAAGTACACCTATGGCATGAATGTGCTTCGACAGAATAATACCATTTTAGGCCACTCATGACCGTTGGTGAGGGACAAGTTGTAAAGGAGACATACGAGGGGATATAATACCTCAGGTTAATGTATCCTTAGCCTGTAGTTGAAGAGAGGCTATGTATCATATATAGTCTTAGACATGACATAACAGAACAATAAAATAACCCTGTCCCAAATCAATCGATTAAGGAATGGTCATCTCACCGTAACACCCTACTGGCGAAGACTCAACATCTCTCAGTGATATCATCAACTCTCACCGTACAGTCTTCAGATCTTCATTAGAGCCTAAAACTTGCCAGATAGACTGCTGTAGTCAGTAAATCTGGCATTTCCACCAAGAGATCCTAATAAAGTTGGGCGCGGCTACTTTATAACACACTCTCATTCAAGATTTTCTAGCAGCATAACATGACTATCATTTTAGTCTGAAGCAAGACAATTAGAGAGTTCTATTAGGTACACAAAAGTATGCAGATAATCGCTGGCCGTACCTGCCAACGCTTTAAAAGGATAGCAATAGCTTCGGATCGGGTCTTGATCACGGTAGCAGGAAAGTGTGACGGGCTAGGACTTTCGGCCAATGCACGAAAACAATGCCACAATTATATGTTTATATTTTCTACGTGGAATTTAGGAAAGGGATGTTACGTCGCTTTTTAACTACAGTGCCTGTTCAGATCACCTGGCCCTTTACAAACGATCTGATAATACACCCGTATAGTGAATAGATTGTCAAACTAGCTTGCGCATACAAGATAAGGATGGGCCCTATAGTCTTAAACAGCCCAACCATAACCAACCGGGCCTAGCCCGTAACAGAGGGTCACATGTTCATGGTTTTCTTTCATTTTTCTGGCCGCTACAAATCCACAAGTGGCATTTGTTTCGTTGGGTGTGAGGATGAGGTGATAAAGAAAAAATAGGCTCAAATTGTGTAATGAGACCCAGACTTGTGAGGTATATTGCTGGTGGTTGAGAGATGCAAAGGAGGCAGAGAGGAGACGATATATCGCACGAGCCGTGGCTATATTTGCACTAAAAGTAGAAAAAACATACATTACATTAATAGTCTTTGACTAAGAATGTACGCTAATAACAGTATAAAATGAGACACCCCGTCTAGAGCAACTGGTTGGTGTAAACACGGTCCTAATTATAGCCATCTGAACTACTCGTATTCGCAAACAATGTGGCCCTCCTAAAAGATCAAAGAGCCTTTGTCCTTCATAGTCATAGGTCTAACATAACAATGAGATACAAACCTAGAATATTTCTGCCTCGTATATCTACTGTGTTTCATTGTATCTTTAAGATTTTGCCCAGTAATGTTGTGTTGATCGTTTGCGTCACAGATATGGGATTTGTGGCAGAATAAAGCTACCCAGCCCCGAATTAGCTCACCGCCATATCGCACGTAAACTTAATGCCTTACTGTGGATGATTGAAGCCGATCATCGATTTTATCGCAGGCCATCTCCGGCAAAAAGAACAGATATATTCTGGGCTCTCGCCATCACACCCGTCACGTTCGTCTCAACACAGCAATCATATTCGCTCATTTGTTTCTTGTAGCTGGTATTGACACGCTTTGAGCAGATCAAAATGGTCAAATTTTACGAGCTATCCTTCAGCTACGACTATTCCTTTCCAGCTGTCACCCTCGCCTACTTTCTCCGATATCCGAATCCTTATAGCAGACATGTCCTCTCTACCGATGTTATATCGCGCGAACTTGACGCCTCTGGACGGCTACATACAGTGCGAATCCACCGCAAGCGCACTCGACTACCCTCGGCCGTCCTAAAATTTCTACCACAGTCTGTCCTTGGAAGTGTTAGTGGCGGGCGAAGCGAATCATACGTCCTTGAGCGTAGTACTGTTGACATTAAAGAGGGATGGATGCGTACAGAAAGCAAAAATTTAGATTGGACGGGTATACTGAGCGTAGTGGAGAAGCAGGAATATCGACGACTCTCGCCCATGAAACCCGGCGAGGACTTTGGGATTGATGCCGATACAACGAGCGTGCTATCGACAGTTATATTCCGTTCAAGGATGGGTGACCGGTTGCGAGCGCGATCTGAAAAAGCGGAAGATCAAGCAGCATTAGATACACAAGAGGAGGCCAAAAAAACTTTCCTGACTAGGTGGAGTACGAGTGGTGTTCAGAAGAGTATCGAGGCAATAGCGCGTCATCGAAGCGAGAATCTCCTCGGAAAGAGCAAGCAGGGGATGGTAGTTGTGCTTGAAAGACTGAGATCAGGTGGCTTAATAGCTGTCCTGGAAGGAATGCGAAGAGACAGAGATGTTGCCCAGCCACTCTAGCCCATCTTCCAAGGGTACATGAAAGCAATGACTCTACTCGATAACTTGCGCTACACAGGAATAGGTAACTAGTGTGATCTTATGAAGTTTTAAGCTGGCAAATTTTGTACAACAACTCATCCGGGAGCGTGGAGTTGATGAACCGGCATCGCAGGTGTTTGTGGCAAAGCTACTGACTTGAAGTTATCATTTTCCGCTGTAAATTTATCATAGATTTACTGTTACAATGAAAGTACTTCTTTTACACCTGTGTTGAAGCCATAAAGTTACGATTTGTTACACATTGCAAGAGAAGCTAGAACTAGAATGGGCGGTGAAGTATAAACAAAGTGACTGCATTTCGGCCACTATCTGACTCTCTCTTTTCAATTGGTATTATTCCTAAGCTATAATTTTGGAATTTGTAGGGGGTAATTTAACTCATTAAGTGTATGCAATATGAAGATTTGAGGTCTCTGTGATAATATCGTCACCGGAGTGGGTAAGGCCATCAATATCAACGAGGAAAATTGATAGATATTAATCAATAAATTTTAATTTAAGAACTAGACAGCTGATCTCAAGAACATTTTAAAACTTGCGATGAAGTAATGTCTATCATTTATATCATATTTCACCCATCACTTTCTTAACTTGTATGTTACGGTTATGCCTCGATATCGGTTCGTTGGGACGGGCCAAAGACCCATTTCTTTTCCGACAGCCTAATGGGAAACCGACCATGCTTTCTGTAGTATTTTTCAAATTTATGACCCTAAGCTAGCACTCTGAGAATGTCTTGGGAACATGACCGATGTAGACGGGAAAAGTTTCTTCATGTAGGCCTGGCTCTCTCGCATTGCATGAATCCCCACCAATAAGTGGCTAACTGTGAGAAATTATTAGACTGCAGAAGAGTCTTGAAACGAATACAGAATTCCAGGCTAAACGGCTCTCTGCGGTTGATAGTTCCGACTGAGCATTTCTCATTCCTCTCCTCGATCCCACCAGTAACAGTCCACAGGCTTGAACACCGGCTTTCGAACGGGATAGTGCCACGAAAGGACTGGTTAAACTCTCAAGATCCAATATTATTTCCAAAAAGATAAGAAATGAAGTGTTCATATGACAAAAATTATACCCAGAAGTCAATTTGTTCACTTAAAGTTATGAGAGTACTCGTGTACGTAGTTCGAACTATTGCTCAGAAGAAATGCGCATTTTTAGTTTTTTTTTTTAAATTCATTTTATTGTCCTGTCTGAGTCTATGACTATGTAGGACATGCAGGTCCTCTCTGCCTACAGGCCAGGGATACCTATACCAGTAGTATATCCCCTCCTATGCCTCCCATACAACTCCCCTCAAACAGTACCACCCCTCACAAGTCCTCATTCGATCATACACTAAGAGGAGCCCTTAGCCCTTCATTATCTCCCCTCTCCAGCCAACGAAACGATGGCCATTTGCGGGTGTATGGCAGCCGGGAAAAATCGCAAAAAACCACTGGGTGCGGGGCTCTTCTAATACCGACATTAGGAATAAATCCGAAGACATATTGCCCCTTCTGAAGCGTTCGAAGAGGCCGGCCAGCTGGGCGCTGCAGACTTGTGGGTACCTCGGGAAATTCACCCTCTGCCTTTCTAGCCTCCTTCCAACTCCTTCCCGAAGGTCGTGCTGAAATGTCAGAAAAGTCTTGACAGAGCGTGATTGCTGTATAGTAGCTTAGCCTAACTTCTTTTATACCGTCCAGGGCGCTGGGGAGTGCCGTTGACTCATCGACAAAAGAAGCCCTCCTGGCTAATTAGCCGAAATCTTGGTCTTGGCGCCCACAAAAAATCCAAAGTTAAAAACTCCTCGAAAATGTCAGTTCCAGCATGGTCTTCAGAGGCTTCTTTCTCCTCTCGCTCCACATCTCAGCCGCTTGTTCTTCCTCAAGATGTATAACCCCATTAGAGCAGCAGTCCCTCATAAACCAAGACCCCAACTTTGTATTTTTCGACTTGATTTCCTCCTTGCGGGTATAAATAGCGTCGTAAATATGTAGAGAGTGATGGCCGGTAATGAATGAGGCAAGCTCCTGTTTGCAATTGGGGTGACGCCTTTATCGGTCGGCGAGGCGAGTTGATATGTGGTTAGATCGGGGTTGAGGACTCAGAAGATAATGATGAGTGCTGCATGGTTGAGAAGTCGTCAAATGGAGATATGCATGTGTTTGCTTTCGACTTCGATTCGGATGCGATTCTTCTTGGCTATCCCAGATATGCAGAGCATACTGAGCGATTACACCGGTACCACTGGAAGGTGAAGAATTCGTCTTTGCCGGCGCACATTTTTAGTTATTCGTCTTTTTCTGAGCTGATGCAAGGGAATTGATTCTAGCTTATGCTCGGATAAAGCATTATCCGAATGTCAGAATCTAAAAATCAAGAGAACTAGCCAATGCAGTGCAACAACCACCGACTCCAAATAATTCCAACTAGATCAATCATTCCGACATGAAGCTCTTCTTAAATATTGGACACATCTAAGTGCGTGGTAGCACACATATGATACCAGAATAGGAAATACCAATTGGAAATTAACAAGTAATTGAGTAAATTATATGCAAGGAGTTTGGGGGATATAGATTATGTAAATAATGTATCATAGCTAGATAGCTGAATACACTATGAATTAAAAAAACTCTCAAGACATATGGGCTGAAGAAGCCTACCGACGAACTAGACTGTGGAGTTATCAAAGATCAAAGTATAAAGACGTCATCTCTCACCCGCAGACTCAATACACGGAAGTGTGAGGTATTGGACCAACAGGTGCACACTATGAAGTCACGATGACCGGACTAGGTTACGATAAAGTTCTAAATTGCCTAAAAATTGCGCACTCGGAAAGTTTTATCAACGCATAAATATGCCAATATAGCGGTATTGTGGAGAATGTAGATTTTCCTTCCAGTTGTCCACTAGTCCATACAGAAGGCACGAAAATTCAACACCTGCCGGTGGTGTCCCCTACGAATCTCCAGCTCTCACTGTAGAGTCTGCAGAGCCGAGATTGAGTCGCGCCGTCCTCACTTCGATAGGGGCTCCAAATCGCTCTGACGGTCTGTGTCTTCTTTATCTCTCAGTACAACCTTCTATCACCATTATCATGATGTGGATCCTAAACGTAGCAGGCTGCGTAATGTAACAGAGAGATAACTCAGGGTCTTTAGTTGTTCCCCCGGGTGGGTATTCACGGATATGGGCTGCCTTGGGATGGAGAACTAGCCGCCACAACTTCGCAGTGGTACTTAAAAATTAAATTCGAGGCATGAGTGCTCTGCCTTTACATTGAATCATCTTTTCTGTACTTTTCTTTGATATTGTGTCAAAGCTAGATAGCTGCACACGCAATTACCATCTGATGCAAAAAAAACATAGACTACTAAATGCGGTTAGCCTATGATTAGTAAGCTACGCACAAAGTGTAGATTTCGGAGTTGGGTGTTAGATGAAGAGATAGACAAATGTATTAGAACTCTAGCTCAACTATTGCATTCTGCGAAATTAGCTGTAGTAGAGCCATGAGTTATGTTTGTCGCCATCCTGTTTCAATTGTGATCAATCGAAACCCACAATGATGCCAACCACTATCAGATCCGATAGTAGGTCGGAGCCCTACTCATCACTGACTCAATCTCTTTGATCATGGAGAAGCCATCCGATGAACTCCCGGAGCCTATCCAGCACTCAATACGGCGGTGGTGGAATTCGATCAAGTTGGATTCGATTGTTACAAAAGAGGGATATAAAAATGGATATACTAACCTTGTATGGCAGGGGCTTCATTTTTCTTGAGAATTTTACCCATGCACGTAGTTTCCATTACTACCTTTTTTTTTCTGGGTAGAAGGTTCCGTCGAAGAGATGGCCGAACTCCACGGGTAAATACTGAGCTGAATGGCTACTCATCACGGGCAATATATCAATGATCTTACAAGTAACAAAAGAGGATAGGAGCACTGTACAAGGTGTGGCCTAGGTCAGAGAGGAGCCCAATGTGCTAGATAGTCATAGACTCAAGTAGTACAATAAAGCATCACACCACGCGGTGTCCTCTGCGAACCTGGGAGTAAAATGTTCTCTCAGGGCCACGTCCAGCCAATTTCGAAATACCAAGGAAGTTGGCCCACGAAGCAATGATTAAATACTCTCTACCAAATCATTTACTCCTACCCAACGGGTTCGACTCCTACCTAAGCCTCATCAAGCTTACAAGTACGACTTGGTACATCTTCCTTTCAATGAGCCTACCTCTCGCTGACCTTCTCTGGCCTCAGCTGAACACCAAGTACACGCCCACGCCGATATTTATACCCGCAGCAGGAAACAAAACGTGGCGCACAAATCTGGGAGATAGTTCTTTAGAATGAACGTGAGAGGGATCAGGACAAGTTCACAAGATGACACGGAGGATGGATACAATCTCGACGGGCGTGGAAATTTGAATTGTGGCGAGGAGTTTCGCAAGGTTGAGCTTCGTGCGAGCCAGGGCTTCCGTTGCGAGAGTGCAGGCGACACTATAAGTACCGTCGCGGTTGGATGGTGCGATAGTACATCGTCTTGGCCAGTCTGCCAAGTAGAGTCTGGATAGCTTGCACACATATGCCACTCGAGACAGTAGATCGCTGCTTCAAATCCGGCAAAACATAACCACATTTCTCGCGGTGCTGATATACATGGATAATCAAAGATTTTGAAATTCCCTTTGGTGGGTACTTACGGAGGAGGGTCGACTGTTTGTGAAATCGAACATACCTCAAAGTGACATTTGCAAATAAAATCCAGAGTATGAGTGTCTCTAACGTCAAAAGAAACATCCAATATGTATACATAGCACCGGTCATGCATCATAGCTGTCAGGGAATACATTTGGATCAACATCATCCCCTGCCAAATACTAGTATTAGCGTATAGCATATGTTTTGTTTTGTTCAGTAATGTGCTAGGTATAGTGATTCCCGTTGCACTCCTACTGGAGCTTGAGCAAGGGCGGGGCCGGGCTGGATCAGGTTAACTACCATTAAGTACATCTACCTCGTCCCACCTGAATGACCGGACCACTTCAGTCTTCACCCATGTGTTGAATCATGTCAAGCCCAACCGTCCAGAAACCCGTTGTTGACATGCCACGGCACAAATTCCTTCCAGCTCGGCCACCACGCGCCAGAGCCCTTGACATCCTCATCGACTCCGAAATGTAAATGCCATCCAAGATTTCATCGTTGCTCTAGCCTTGCAAGTTCATATCGTACTATCGGGTTGTTGTTGTCATTGGGGATTTATGTAATCCCCTCGGTGTATCTTCCCTTTTTCTTCCTCCTTCGCACACGTCCTGTTTCCATCATGACTTTCCTCGTTAAGGCGCGTGTAGTTAGGTGACGTGACGAGTATAGAGGTGGGTCGCAGGTGTGAGATCGGCTGAGATATGGATCGTCGCAAATATATAAGGAGTCTGAGAGATGTCAGATGTTTGAATGCGACTCTCAGATAGACCTATGCCCATTCATGAATCGTATGTTGGTGGTGATGAGTTTTTGTTCGACTTTGTTCCAGCTGTGAAATCTCTGCCGACTGATTTTTCGACCAAAATATCGAGTGCAACTCCTTCAAGTCGAAAATCCATCAATTAAAATTCACCCCACCCTTTTTCGTGGCTGAATCTCGGCTCTGGGAGAGTATTTCACCCCCAGGTTCGTAGAGGACACCACTGACAGGTGTTCAGCCTTCGTCCTCCGTATAGCATATGTGTTTATGGGCCAAGTAATGGGTTGGTTACCACATAGGTTTAGTTCAGGGTTTATCTCATGTAACGTTGAGCTATTGTATGAGTTGGGAGGAAGCTCCAGTTCACTTTTACCTAGAGTATAACTAGTCGCTTTACTGCTGCTGGGATTGGGCATACGACGTTCTTGTATCTTAATTACCTGTTAGAGACTACTTACTTATTCGAGCTACCCGTATATCATAACTCCTACCCAGTGATATTACCTATCTAAGACATCTCCCTTACAATAGATAGATAGCTTCATACACATTTTATGATTTTAAAAAAGAAAAAACGATAGAAAAGGCCAAGTACCGGTTTGATGGATGTATTTAGACTGCCCTTAGTGCTGGCACAGCCAAACTTAAGCGAAGATTTGAGAAAATACCGAATGATGAATGTCCGTCAAACGTAATACGAGCTAGAGAGTGCGCTGCGCAGTAATCGTTCTGTTGAGTAATGTTCTCTAAATCAGAATCATCTCCTCCAATACACCTTCTCAACTCCCACGGCTCAACATCCATCTTGCCCACTACCTTTGAATTTGTATTCTTTACTGAAATCAGTTTCTGGGTTGCCCTGATTAGGCATGTCCCTTGTGTGCCAGAAAAACACCTATTTTAATCCTACGATCCACAATCTCTCCGTTTCGTCGGTGTAATTAATCGCTAGTTAGGGGTCGGAAAGAGTAGAACATAATTAAATTGAAGTCCCTACTGAGTCTATGACTATGGAGAACTCAGAAAGATTATCTCGCACCTATTTCAGTCTACATAATTGCTATCCAGAGGAGAAATGGCTCCTGGCAAGAACATTGGGAAGCGGACGAGATTCTCAGCAAATCCCAAGACCGAACTAGCTGATGATCATGTGATATGGCTCTAGGTTATTTTTAGCACCCTTGAAACCTCTTCAGTATGTGCTCGTGGCCAGAAATTTACTTCAGGATTCCGTTCGACTGACAACTCATTGAAGCTTTGCGAATCCAGCGAGGCTCGACTGTACTCCTTACGAAGCTCTACTACAAGATGACGAAGTCAAGCTCTTTTAAGCAAAGTTTTCGTGGCTTAGCTTTGATGCATACTCATGAAAGAGGATCAAATATTCTGAGTAAACAAAAATACCTCACATTGGAATTCTCGAGTATTATCTAGGGAAAATCTCGAAATCCAGGCTCACTTAAATTACCAGATGTGATTATTTGTAGTAGATAGATGGCTAAATACCCAAAATATGTCTAAAAAACTAGCTGTAGAGGGAAATAAATATGCTCATTGGTTGCGCCGTTTCGACCGCCAGCCTCTTTCCCCATAGGCATAGCCTCAAATTTGGTCCGAATTGGGCACTCTAGGCTCGTAATAGAGCCATTTTTGAATAACTATATTTTTTCTTCAGAATAGTCACTGTTTTACTCTTCCACCTCAGCTCCATTCCCGACATTAGATTTTGTTGTTCTAGCTTTCTTTGCTGGTGGGGCTTCAACATCAGCCTCAGCTTCGGGCTCAGCTTCTGGTTCAGCTTCCTGATCGGCCCCTTTCGGAGAATTGGTTTGTGCTGTTTTGGCCTTCTTTGCTGGTGGAGCTTCTAGTTCAGCTTCTGGTTCGGCTTCAGGCTCCGCTTCCAGATCGATTCCTTTCTGAGAATTGGTTTGTGCTGTTTTGGCCTTCTTTGCTGGTGGAGCTTCTAGTTCAGCTTCTGGTTCGGCTTCAGGCTCCGCTTCCAGATCGATTCCTTTCTGAGAATTGGTTTGTGCTGTTTTGGCCTTCTTTGCTGGTGGAGCTTCTGGTTCAGCTTCTGGTTCGGCTTCAGGCTCCGCTTCTGGATCGGCCCCCCCCGCATCACCAACTGCCTCCTGTTTAGCTGCAAGACAAGGCACATAGGCATTTTTCTTTTTGCAACCAAACATCGAGCAGTTATTCGTTTGCTTGGTCTGTTTAAGCATGACAACACTTAGAAATTTGCAATGATCATTCATAAGGATGAAATGTAGTTTGTCAAAGTCTGTGTCATGGAAGGACCCTAAAATCATACACTACCGTTAAATTGACCCAATTTTCATTCGGAAGCGAGATTTTAATTCCACACAACTTACATTTAGTGTAGATCTTTCCGCCACTTAAGACAGGATAGAGGTGGTTGTTACGATAATCGAGAGGAAACTTGTGACTTCCCTTGGTTGTATCACCTTGAGTTAGAAGAACGCAAGCTTGATTCCGAGCCCTCTCTATGTCGGCACTGTCGTACTTGGCGAGCCTGCAGGTAAAGCTCTGTTGGGGTTCCTCTCTCCTATGTAGACGTCTTCGCATGTGCCGACGAAATGGGAAATGAGAAGCGTCAATAGACGTGAAAAGGGCAGCCACGGCTAAGATGAGTAAAGATCGCATGCTTTTATCGGGCTCGTATGTCAATGAAGGTTGGTAGGGCTAATGGGATACTTCAGCCACCACAGGAAATTATATCTCTTGTAAAGGTGAGGATTTTTTCAATATTTATACCACACACGCGTTACAGTCTGTATGCAAGATTACTGAGGGCTTGGGGGGCCACTGTGAATTGAATCACGACTCAAGATCTTATTTCCGGCCATCTGACATAACTACCAACTTGTTACAGCCTCTGACATCTCCTCTCATGTACTATTTATTTTTAACGGGTGAGGGGCTGACGTTGCAAGAATTCAAGTAATAGTCTTTTTAATTCTTTACTCTGCGCTGTTGTTACATGACTGACTATGGCCCCAAATTCCTCGTGTCATGAGCCTTGAATAGGATCTCCTTGTTTTTCAATATTTCAGCTACTCTAAATTAGCAATGAATGTAACTATGTTTAAGATAGTGGTTGAGGGTGAGACGATACTTACTAGCATCATTACCATCATTGTTCCAAATCTCTCTTCTTTACCCCAAACCTCAATCAAAGTGACACACTTTTCATTAAGCGTCGGCTACATCATTACTAGCCTCCAAACCATCCCATCAGCTACAGACCCACAAAGTTTCTTCACTCAATCAGCTGAAGATGGGACCTAAAGATGAGATAACGACTCGTATGAGTATTTGCTTGGTTAAATTTATGGAGAGATGAAACCATACGTCAAGAACCAAGGATGAAGATGAGATAGTGCACTACCCATAGCATACATCATCTTATCCCCTCATCAGGAGAAATGCAAAATTTCCACTTTGGTGGATCCAATTCGCAAATAAACAACTTAATCTACCGTTAGTTCTGAGCCCGCGCATGATAAATATCCATCTATAGTCTCCATATTCAAATTGGAGACAGCTGCGTTACAAATTACTTTAACTTGTTCTGCTAAAACCTCCAAATTCTTGGCTGAAACTCTAGGGCCCTGTTGTCTACAATAGCGGTGAGGGTGACGAGAAAAATGACAAAAGGACCTCGTTCATGTTCACTGGGCCATCCATGGCAACAATTTTCACCGGTGCAAGCCTCTTAGGGCAGGGTGATGGATCAAAAAACTGAAGCAACTCATATGGTTGTAGGTATTTTGAGGGCGATGTGGGACTGTCTTTCAGGTGATTTGAGGGAGCTGGATAGATAGATGGGTTTGTGAACGTGTTTGACTTATAAAGCTCAATCCTCGCGGATGTCAACATATTCCATCTTGGGACCATGTGCTTGTTACTGCCTCTACATATGCAAATCATCTAATCTCTGGCACCGAGGATCAAACCATCTAAATTGTTACATTTACCTCCACATATGTAATCCCTTATTATTTCATCACAATCTATGCTATTGTACTTTATTCCATCATGTTCCAATCTTCTTTGTCATATTCAGTCTATTGTATAGGCATTGCAATATGATGATTTGTGTAGCAGCACGCATGGACAGCAACGCAGATGTCTGAAACACAACAGCAACACCAGCAATGTAATGAGAACCTATCAATAGTAACGCCATGCCGGCATAGACGAATTCTTCACCTTCCAGTGGTGCTGGTATATTCGCTCATTATGTTCTGCATATTTAAAATAGCCAAGAAGTATCACATCCTCTTATATTAACTAGACTGTCTAGGAACAGGATGAAGTATACTCTTTAGGACGTTATGCTTAGAGTGGGTCTCGTTAATCGATATCGCGCGTGTTCTCGTGATATATAAGACTTGTATCTATATTCTCGTAGAAAAGAAACTAAGTTAATGTGATGAACAGAGGTTGAGACCTGATGTGTTGCACTAAACTTTCTGCGTTGTTCACAGCCTTGTACTAGAAAATTCCCTTCTCATACCATTTCTCTCCTGCGAGAAACGACCATCTCGTTCTCCCTCAATCCATCAGTCTCTCGCTGATTCGATTATCTATATTCTATCGAGTTCTAGTTGAATCCATAATACCCATAAATATTAAGGAAATAATGACCCCGCAATCATTGAGGTTGTAGAGCGCATTGATCCATGTGATTAGCGAAGTGAAACTAAGCACATAATTTTCAGTCAAGTGCAGGTCGACAACGTGGCCCACTTGAAAGCCCTAATTATTCTAAAATCTAACAATAAATGCATTACACACTAAACACCGCCACGAAACTCACACTGCCCTTGATTTTTTCAAGTGACAATATCGCATTTTACCCACGACATTTTACTGAATTAATAATCTCTCAATCACCCACGCCGCCCCAGTCCTCCGCAGAGGCTGGCACCTGGCCCCCCCTCCCCACTCTATGTTCGACGCGTCAAGACGTCGAAATGGTCCTTAATGGGCCAGAACCGCCATCACAACCACCCACCCAACAATTTTTAGAGCCAATCTACGAGGCGAGTCATCGAAGCTCGCCCCACCAACAAACTCCGTCGCCTCAAATTGTCGCGACCGAATTCCTCGCCGAACAGGGCAGGATATTCCAGACGCGCTCTGCACAAGCAGAGCGTTTCATCATCGGGTTCTGCAAGCTGTTGGAACCAGTCACTGACGAGAGACTTCGAAAACTCTTTGATCAGGACTTATTGGCCCTTCAGGGCAAGATCTTGGAAATTTTGTGGGGCAACCCATCTCAAGCAGACGCCAACATTCCCCCAAAGGCTGCAAGCGGCCATACTAACACATCTAACCCGGCTCAAGTTACAGAGCCTCCAAAACAAAGTCCCGCAAGCGTCACGCGTCCAGTGCTGATCCTTGCCAGAGAAAAGAACAGACCGGCACCACAAAGGCTGGTAGCCACAACCGCAACTCTCTAGCCCAATCAGGGCTCAAACATAACCAACAACAACGCTACAGAGAAATCTTGGACCGAGGCGTTGGGAAAAAGAAACAAGCCAGCAAACCAAGTGGCTCCAAATCAAGTGGCTCCAAATTCAACACTCAAAACAGTACTGATGAGGCCCGTCCCCACGCTGAAGTCTAAAGCTCCAGCAACAAACTCCCAGCGACCTGACGAGCGCGTATTCTTGCGCCTCAGACCTGACCACCCGTGGAGACGTATGTCACCCCACTTCGTAAAGATTAGCCTAGCTAGCAAGCTGCGTCTGGCAAACTCGACAATCAAACAGGTCACTGTCGTGAACTCAGGGTTCGCAATACAAGCCGAAGGGGAAGAAGCTAGAGGTGCACTTCTCTCAAGAGGAGCCATCTTAGACAGTTCTGAAATGAAATTGGAAACCGCATCCAATTGGATATCAGTTCTGGCACAGAATATCCTAGACAAGCTTTACACTCTGGAAGGGCCCACCATAGTGACACCAGAGATGGTAATAGAAGAAGCAGCTCTCAAAACAAGAGTTAGACCAACCTCGGCTCGTGCTTTCGCTACTAGCATGGCCAGGCCGTCAACGGACTGGGTGTTGCACTTCGCAACAGGAAAGCCGAAACTTGGAGGAAGACTGTTTGAAGAAAGCGGGCGCCTTCACGAACTCCAGCGCAAGCTCGAAATTGCGCAATGCAACCGATGCTGGGGACACCACCCAATTAAAATTTTTTCACGAGCAGAGCGCTGCACCCGCTGTGGCTCAATTGAGCACAAAGCTACTGCGTGCAAACAGGCCGTTCCAAGGTGCATCAATTGCCAAGGGCCACATGCTGCAACTGAGCCTAACTGTATGGCTAGGCCGACACGGGCTGGTGGGAAGACGGTGCAACGCACAAGGGACCAGCTGTCGGTGATCCGCGAGCAGGGTCAAAAAGAAAGGAATGCTTCGATCAGAGAGATGGAAGCAAAGCAGAAAGCCACCGAGGCTACTGCTGAAAACGAAAACACAAACGTAGCTCAATGCCCGTAAGGGACCACAACCCAACCGAGCTTCAAAAAACGGCAACAACAATATCGTTCCTCTGTGCTAACTTGGGCAGAGGAGACCCCGCTACGGACATCATCCTGCAATCCGCTTGGGATTCAGGAACCGATGTCCTACTTATCCAGGAACCCTGGACTCAACACAAGGATGGCCTCTGGCTCACCAAGTCGCATCCCGGATTCGATAGGCATTTGCCTCCCCGTGTCGCTGCTAACTCTTCAAGGCCACGCTCCCTCATCTACACGCGAAAAGGGATCAAGTGCCAACAGCAAGTAATCCGCGAGACATCACCAGATCTCACTGCCGTCAAGGTAGGAGGAGTCATATTTGTCTCCGTATACCGCGCTCCTGGAGCAGACTTTATGCCGCTACTATCATGGGCTCCATCTGGGCCTACAGTTATTGGCGGAGATTTCAATGCTGTTCATACCGACTGGCAGCCAATGGCTACTAGGCTACACGGTGACGGCCAGGTGCTCACCGAGTGGATGTTCGAGCACGGCATGGACCTATCTTCCACACCGGGCGTCCCGACACACGACTTTGGAAACACACTCGACCTGGTCTGGTCTAACGCTGGTGCCCTTGCAGATGTCTCGACAGAGCTTGACTCAACATCGGACGACAGAACGCTTGCAGGAGACGTTCCCCGCCCGAACTCGAAAGCCATAGCGGTTATCAAAACTGGTCAACCGGTACGAGTGACAGACGACGCCCTCGAAGACTTCGCCAAGGTACTTGGTAGGTGGGCCCATGGAATAGGGATGCAGCCTATGGTCTCAACAAGTGCGGTGGACAATCTTGTGGATAAACTGGCTCAAACCATCAGCGATGCTATCAGGGCTACCGGAAGACGCGGGAGTGCGAAGAAGGGTAGGACGGCACCTTGGTGGACGTTGGAGTGCTCACAGGCCAAACTCGAATATAGGATATTCAGGGACGAAGAGAATAGAAAGGATTTTCGTCGCATGGTCAGAAGTGCGAAACGCCAATACTGGCTGCGAAAGTTCTCGGAAGCTACAACAGACATCGACATGTATCGGATGGCACGTTGGGCAAAGCCGCAACCTACATCTGCTGCTCCGCCACTCCAAACTCCGGATGGTTTTGTTTCGGATCCAG